GGCTTCTTCGGCATGTCATTCAAACGGGGTCAGAGGAAAGACGAGCTGCCAAAATATGTTCCAATATCCTTATTACGACTTCTTACAAATAGTCAGTTGGCGTCCTCTAAAATCTGGTACCAGACAATTTACTACCTGAAAGGTTGGTTTTATAGACATGCATAATATTATCAACTAGGGAACATTATTGTCTCGCGGTTTCATTGAGCCTTGGAAGGGGAAATGATATATGATACCGCGCTTTTCTCTGTTTTATGACCAATAACTTTTACGGCGACTTAAACTCATCAGTAGTTTTTTAGCCATAATGAAACTGAGGCTTCTACCTCGGTTCAGTAACCGTATTAAAGACTTATAATGCAGTCAAAATATCAGTTAGTGGCCTCTTATTGGTACAGATGCTCGGCACAGCTGGATAACATAGAAGAAACATACAGAGTGCAGAAAATAAAAGCTGACTGCCATGAACGGATTTACCTGAATAAAATCGTTGCTACCGACAATTAGTTGATCTGCCTGCTCTGGATTTGTGACCTTGACCTCTGTTTTGAAGGAAACAGCTTCAGAGACAGCGAGCAAAAATTCCAGATTAATCCCGAAGCGCTTCACATTTCTGTAATTCATCCTAAATAAACAGAGCATATCAGATTTCAGGCTTACACACCAAAAACGTGCAAACGCTGGTCAAAGAAGGAAAGGCATTCATGATGAGGTTGTCATAATGCTAATTTCGTTCATACTGGAATTTATAGTCTAAGCTGGATGCCATTCTCGTAGTACAGCTTGTTAGTGTCGTGAGGATGGTTTGTAGGGTCATATGTCTGTGAACGGCACGAAACCGAAACTAACATCGGCTGCAGAAGCTCAGGATGGTTAGTTTTCTCGTCCAAGCTATTGCCTGAGTTTTCGCTAGTGGTCGAGGTTTGGTAACTGTAACGACGAGGCGGTAAGTTTCATATGCTGGAAGTTGTTCCGTAAAAACTGTTCCCCTGAATAGGCAGATGATAGGAAACTTCGCCAAAATACTAGTGAGGTTCTGAATTGACCTTACGCACAGTGATGACCAAATTTTCACATATCATACAGTCGTTGACAAATGCTGATGATTCAATCACATTTCTGGCTGCATTTGATTTTATGATGGCTCCTTCGTTTTCGAGTCAAGAGCGAGCTTCATAATTTAAAACGCCGCCCAACGACGCGGAAAATTTTAAAATCCTATGGGGTACCACATCGCTCGCTTCCATATTAAGGGATATGTACGCAGAAACTGGGATGTGCTTCAACCAATGCCATTCACCATTGCTCTAAGCTGTTTTCGTTGAAACATTGGCGAACCTGGGAAGGATCACATTTTAAGGGACAACACAGTTCAAGAGTTTCAATACACCTGCTCAGGAGTTTAACTCACCTAAAATAGGCAGATGACACTGACGTGGTTGGCGGTGCCGAAAGTGGGCTTGATCATAAGACGGCATCCGCATAAAACGCGGCTATACGAATCGACCTCGGCCTTGCCTCGCAAGGCAAAGTTATGACGAGTCCTTCAGGCAAAGGAAACTGAGAAGTTGAACAATAGAAGAGATTAATCAGTTTCAGCATCTCCAGCGATGGAATCATCCAGTCAGAGCTGAATTGGGGAGCGGCATTGCATTCGCCGCTTTTATTAATTTGCTAACCAGTTTAATTAAGTTTAATCAAAAAGGAGTGTCTCTCTCTCTCTAGGAATTTATTTTGTACCTTGTTGCGGTTAGGTTTCGGTTTTCACTTAAGACATGGATGAGATCATTCGCAAGAAGGACTTGACTTTGATGCACAATGAGGGTTTGATGGCAAGATCACGCAAGGAATGACTCTATCCTCTCCACAGCGCAAGTCTCAGTAGATATGATGATTAAGCACAAGAAATTGGCCTTATTTGTCAAAAACCATTTACTCAGGCCCGTTAGCCTCTTTGGAGGGAGCAGAAATGCGACAAGCATCGATCAGGCGATCAGAACGCAGTATGAATGAACAACGCAGGCAGATCTGTTTAGGAGATCAACTGTTCCTAATACGATGCGGTGAGCGGTTCCTCATACGAAAAATACTTTATATTAAATTATCGAAAGTACCTAGTTGAAAAAGACTTTCGATTACAGCTGAAGCCGCAGAGACGCTCAGCCTGTTCAAACGGCTCAAAGAGATGATCCCAATCAGCGCAAATAGAAAAAACGCGTTGCATATCTGCGGCACATTTCCATTTATTATACCATGCGCCAAAGGTTTTTCGGATGCCGACGCCAACCCATTGACTTTAGATCATTATTCTCATCGAAT